GTTTTGATTTGGATAGTCACTCAATTTTATTTCTATTATTTATTTTCATGAGTTACCCTCACTATTTGTAATAGATTACAATTCAATCAATGTATTTTTTATTTGTGAAGAAATGCTCTTGGTGGGGCGCATACGGGTATGGGTATGGGGCGGGGGAGGCTAAACTCATACCCGCCCCATACCCATCAAACTTTTTGCGGGTTTTACCCATACCCACCCCATACCCAGTCAATGAGGGGATTCCCCACGTTGACTGAATCGGGGGCGGTCGGATATCCACAACCATGGGTTTGGTTGTCATCCCTACTTCATATTGAGATAAATCATATTCAACCAGACTTTGTGGTGATATATAAATAATTTTACTCTTTTCAAAATGATAGAAACCCAATTCTCGGGTTCTATCATAATTATCATAATTACTATAATTAGGATATTATTAGATATGGTTAGTAGTCTTTGAGTCGTTCTAGGATAGTCTATTAGGTTTCTCTTCTCAAAACCCTAATTCTGTTCTTTAATCCCTAAATCCCAATTCCACAATCCGATCGATAGAATCCTACAAGAAGGTTCTATCATTTGATATAAGAGCCATGGTCACATATTTTAGTTCATCACGACTCTCACCAGGGAATTGTTATCGGAAACTCTATCAAGCAATTGAACCCCTCCAAGCCAGCCTGGTGGAATATGAAGCTAGTAGGGAAGTTCAACACAACAATATAATGGCAGGCCTGGAAGAACTTCTAGCCAAACTTGAGCGTCGCGCGACCCACAACCAGCCAGAGTCGATGTCGAAGGATTCATCAGCACCAACCACCAAAGGCAACACCTCGCCACCATCGCCAACCGCGGCTGCTGTTTCGAGCACAGTGCTACTACAACCACCAACCACTGCGATTGACTTCTCTACTGTCGAGGAACCGTCGTGCAAGCCTGTTGCTATTATTCATCTCACACGTCGATAACGAAGAAGACGACGACTACTCAACCCATGCCGACGTCGACAACAACATCCGCCATTAGGGTCATGGCAACCTCGTGAGGGAAGGCGAACCGAATCACCACCGCCACTGCCAGAGTCGCGGACCAACACTCTTCCTCAACGAAGGACAATATAAGGGTCGAAGAAGCCGTTGAGTGCTTCTCCTAGAAAGAATCCTTGATAAATCCACTAAATGATGGGTGGAAGTTTCGAAAGAAGAAGCTTGGGACCGGAAAAGAAGATTCGGAGGCCGCCGCGCTACCCAGGACCTCGATGGTGAAACCGCCTGCCCCATCAACGGTCGCAGATCGGGAGGGAGAAGCCTCCCTCAGGTTCCAAGCCATCCTCGCCACTGAGCAATCTGTCGACATCGCCTCTGGGTCTAGCAAGGCAAACTCGGCTCCGTCCACCCACCCTAACACAAAAACACGGGCGAGCATGAGCTTCATGGTTCGCTCGCTATGGGCGGAGCTCCGCCTCGACGGCGAGCAACAATGCATGAATGGGACGATCGGCTGCGAAGTGGAATCACCCAGATCGAGAATCGGGCGAGGTGGGCGATGACAACGTGGCCGTCGGGTGGATGGCTAGCTAACGAAAAGGGAGATGATGACGAAAACGCCGGGGAAGGAGACGTCGACAGAGGATGAAGGGAGGAAGGAGCAGGGTCGCCGAGCTGCGATTTGGACAGTGATGATGTCAGGTCAGCTACTTAAAGTGTGGCGCCGACCAGGAAGCTGGAACAAATGGCAACGTCGACCGGAAGAGAGAAAGATTCACCAGCGGTGGCAACGTCGAAAGCATGTCGGACTGTCCTCCTCCGGAGTTGTTCGCCGCCGAGTGACACGCTACGACACAACACCAAACTGCGACCAAGTGTAATCGCAGTCCGGAAATGCAGTAAAGCGGCCAGTTCTAATTATCAACCCGGGGTTTAGATCTACTGCCTACTCCGTGTATATCTGTTATCTAGCAAACTAAGTTGAGTGATTGTGATTTTAACTAAAAGCAGTAAGAAAGCAGGAAATGGTTCGGTTTTCTAAAGCAAAGGAAGAGTCACTCGGGAATGAGTCCCCCTAGCTCCTTAGTTAGGTCTCAGTTGCAATTACCTTTGGTTGATTTACTGTTGATTAAACTGCAGAAGATCCGAGAGTAGCTTGGAATCTCTTAAGCTGACCAAGCCCTCTCAGTCCAACTACCAGGCAGACGACTAGTCTTCAACGAGATAGAAAACTAAGGCTATGAACACAGAACTCCACTACTGGAATTGGATTCCAGTACAGTATAACCATCCCAAGTCATTACAATCAAGATCCCTAACACATGGACCTAGGGTTCTTCATACCCAAGTGAGAGAGGGTTCAACTCCATAGAGAGAGAGAGAGAGAGGAAAATAGAAATCAGAGTAGTCATACACATAAAGATGAGAAAAATCTGCTCTGGGATGTCAATCTTCACTCCTGGGGACGCAATCAGGGCTTCAATGGTGAGAAATCCACTCCAAATAGCTCCTAGGGTTTGTTCTTCGCACTTTCTCTCTCTAAAACTCTGTTTTTGCTCCCAAAAGTCGACCCCCTCTCCTTTGGCTCGAATCTGCTTCAAAAACCCGATTCTAGGCGAATTACAGGCTGAATTACGGTCGTAATCATGGTCTACCCGTAATTTCCCAAAACGCGCGTTTCACTTATCTCAGAAGAAAGGATTTACGGTCGTGATTACCCAATTACTGGCAGTAATTGTGGAATTACGACCGTAATCACTTTGACTCTTGCCCGTAATTGTCTCTGTGACAGGAATTATGAAGAATTAGGCTCGGCATTGCATTTACGGGCATGAAAAAAGCAATTACGGCCGTAATTGGGCAGGGGCTGCCCGTAATTCTTCCTCCGCCCCTGTTTAATGCTTCGTTTCTCCCTCGTCCGGACTCCGAATCAGTCGTCGTTTGATCCTAGACGCTCGTAGTCTCATCCTCTTTCTTTTCATAACAAAATTACATGATTATTTGTCCATAATATGAGGTAGAAGTCCATTATTCCTCAGGTCATGCTCGTGTTTCTTCTCCCGAATTGCCAAATGATCTCCGATTGACTTGAAACTTGCGCTTTTGCTCCAATTTACATGCTAGGACCTGAAATGTGACAAAGGAACACAACCTAGCGTAAAATAGTCAAGAAAGCAAAAACTCAAGCCAAAATGAGCAAGAAATTAGGGTGCAAACATGTGCAAATACGATGTTATCAACGAGGGACGACGCGACAAGGATGCAGGAGGAAGTTGGGGGTGGTTAGTTTTCTCTTCTCATGAAACCTAGGTCACTATCCTTGGGCTGGGGAACTCCACAGCAGCTGCACATTCTGTTGGGCTGGAGGAAGTGGGCTGATCATCTTGTTGGGTCAGGGCAATCTAATCAAGGAGGATCGTGGGCTGGAACTTTATATGAACAGGTCGTGGATCGGGGAGATAGGAAGCAGTCCGGGCCGAGAGGAAGCCTTACCTTGGCTCGTTTTCGTCCGACCGGATTTGCTGAGCGAGGAAGCCTTACGTGGGCTCATTTTGGTCCGACCGGATCTGCTGAGTGGGCTGTGGGAAGGGAAGAAGTGGACCAGGCTCAATGTACAGGCCAGCAGAGATGGGCTTTGTCATAAGGTGGCAAGGAAGAGAAGATGCATCTGGCATGGCAAGGGCCGCGCACAGCAGCAAGCCGCCTTAGTGTGCCGAGTAAGTCAGGATTTCAGGTGGGCTTTTGCTGCCATCATCTCGGGCCACGCTGATTAGCAGTGCAGGCCAGAGAATGGGCACCGTTATATTTGGCCTAAGTCAATGAGGAGCATTGTGGAGGCCGGAATTTGCAATTTTAGCTCCAATTCGACCATCACTTTGTTTGAAATGGTTGGTATAAAATGGCAACAGAAGGTACGTGGAGATTGTCTGCATTTTTATCCAATGCATGGGTAGAAGGGAAGGATGGTTGGGGATGAAGTGCATGAGGTATCACAGTCCTTGGATTCTTATTTCGTGGCGTTTGAAGGGGAAGCTGTAGGCTTTATTGAGCTCGGAGATAATGATAGGTGTCAAGTGGCTGGAGAAGCTTCGATGGAAGCTGAATCGGTTCGAGGTATTGTTCGTGAGTCTGAACATGATTGGAAGAAAAGGAAGCGCAAAAGGCAGAGAACCAACGATCGGATTGGGCAAGGAGGTTGGAAGAAATGGGTAATTTCGATCAACCTTCAGGGCAAGGTTGGTCTCAAGGGGAAGGGGATGATAGAAACCCAATTCTCGGGTTCTATCATAATTATCATAATTGCTATAATTAGGATATTATTAGATATGGTTAGTAGTCTTTGAGTCGTACTAGGATAATCTATTAGGTTTTTCCAGTCTTTCGCTATAAATATGTACAAGGAAACAATCTCCTAAACCCTGTTCTCTCAATCCTCTCAATTCTCGTTCCCAATCCCTCTAAAGGCCTAGGCCGATTCTCTATCTTTCTCTTCTCAAAAACCTTATTCTATTCTTTAATCCCTAAATCCCAATTCTACAATCCGATCGATAGAATCCTAAAAGCTGGTTCTATCACAAAATCACACAAAGTATTAACGCAAATTAAATGGCAAAAAGTATATAATGAGTGATTGATAAACATATGTACTCATATTCAAGGTTGGAAAATCAAATAATTTTTTGGCTGATTGGATTATTCACTACGGAGAATATTTATCCAATGCATAGAACCATCAGCTGCTGGTCAGACCAATTACAATTACACTTTATGTATAAAAAAATTTATCCTTGTGACATTCTCGAAAACAATAACAATTGTTTCCATAATATCCTACTATTAAATCAGTAGTGTCCTGAGTATATCCCTATCTAGGTAAAAGAAATTGATAGATCATAGACTCAATTTTCAATCATAATTGAAAATATTCAACCATTTTGATCATTGTCATAAACTATATATACTTCTAATTTAAGATATTTAATCAATAATTATTGTTTGTTTGTTATGTCTATCTAGGATTAACTTAGTATATTGATTTAGGCACATTTGTACAATTTTTACCCCCAGTTTGCTTAGTCGTTTGAAGCATTTTTACTCCGAGAGGTTTAGTTTTATGCCAGTTTTTGCCGTATTTTGGTGCTTTTCATACTTTGGCAGGTGGAACCAACCCCGGGGTCAAAAGTTGGACGAAAGGGCGAAAAATCAAGTCAATGGGTGGAAGCAGCAGCAGATCACGGTTTGGATTGTGAGTTCACGGTAACAAAGACCGTAAACTAGAGGCGCTACCCATGACAGCCAGGCATCTAGAGCACAAATTGTTTTCACGGGACACAAGTCAATTCACGGTCGTAAGATCGTGAACTCAGGCCATTGCCTGTGAATTGGACTTAGTGATGCGGCGCGTTTCGACTTGAGATCACAGTCCGGGCTTTCAGTTCACGCCCGTGATCTGAGCCCGATCTGGGTATATAAAGGAGGTTGAGCTGAAGAAAAGTCTCGACTTGTACCACGATGCCCTCCCAATGGCCTATGTCGACGAACATGCTCATAAATTGCACGTTGAACTGCTCGTAAACTCTCATTTCTTCTCGTTGCTCCCTAGGGTTAGGGTTTGCATACTCACCTTGGGGTGGCCCTTGATCTCGTGGTTGAGGTTGATCTTGATCACGCCTTTGCAATGCCTCAATTTGTGTCTTAGTCGCCACTTGTTCTTGAAGTACCTTTGCTACTTGCGCGACGATTTGTTGAAGTTGTGCCGCCACGTCTTGTGCTTGATCCACCATGGTTTCTTGCTAAATAAGAACCACACGAATGCTTTGTCTTCAAGATACCTTCCTTGCCGCACAAAAAACTCTTCCAAGAACATTCAAGATTTGCTTTCTTGAGGTTCAAAACTTACAATAATGGTTCACGAACTGCCAAGAACTCCAAGAATCTATCTCCTCTCTGCTGCGTTTGAACCGGGCTCTTGATACCACTTGATATGACCCTAATTCAAGAATTCACTCAAACTTGCACCAAAACACCAGAGTCGCACACGTCGAACTATTTAGGGGTTTTCTCCTTTCTTGAATAACACGAAAAGTAAAGATAAATGCGGAATCGATCAAACAAATTTGAACTCGTGAGAAGGGCCAGAAGGTATATAAAACCTTCTAAAAAATCTCGAACTCGTGGAAGAAGCCAACCGATATCGTCGAAGATCGCCACAACTAGATGTGATCTTCTAGTTGATAAGAGACACTCAAACCTCCTGAATCCTCGAAGGAGAATTTAAGCAAAACAAGTTCTTGAAGAACTCGAAAACACTTGTATTTGGTTGCTGAACTTGAATGAAAATACATGACTCCTATTTGTAGAACCACGAATCTAAAACACAAAACAACTAAGGAAAACCAAATCCTACTTGAAAAAGGAAAACAAAAACCTTAACAAACAAGTAAACAAAGTCCTACAAAGAAAAGGAAACAAATTTTACTTTTTCAACCCTTAATTCTAACTAGGGCTGAAAATTTGCATGTCCCGTCCCTGTCCCTGTCTGACCCGTCCCTGAAGGGTCAAGATGTATAACCGTCCCGTCCCGTCCCTGTCTCCTTCTTGACCCTGTCTGACCCTCAAGGGTTGGGACGGGACGGGACGGGCCGGGTCAGTGGGTCGACCCTAATCAACACACTACTTTTTTACAAATTACGTTTTGGTACCCAAAATTATTTTTTCTTACAATTTAGTACCTAAATTTTATTTTTTTACAAATAAGTCCATAAATTTTGATGGTAAAATTACGTTTTGGTACCCAAAATTTTTTATTTTTACAAATTAGTACCTAAACTTTTAAAACTTTACAAAAAGGTCCAATGAAGTATGAGATATTTGTTGTTGCTAAGGGTCACAGGGTCAAAACGTGACCCGTCCCTAAGTTGTCCCGACCCTTGCAGGGTCAACAAATGACCCGTCCCTAATCTGTCCCTGTAGACAAATTGACCCGTCCCGACCCTTAGGGACGGGACGGGTCGGGATGGGTCAGTGGGTCTTCCGGGACAAGCTTTCACCCCTAATTCTAACCTTAAAATCCTCCCTCACATGGCTTGTCTTCACACTTGATATTCCTTTCACACTTGTATTCCTTTCACACCTTCTGTTCACACCATGGGGGAATTCCTTCATTCTAGGCCGAATCTTCTTCTCCTTCTTCCAAGCCCATCTTCTCATGATTTAGTTCCACGAATCGAAGCAATGTGATGGGCTTTCCTTTATGCAAATCTATGTCCATCAAGAACGATCTCATTTGATCCTTGTATCGTTGTACTCAAACCTTCATTTTTGGACCACGAGAACTATATATGTTGGCATTCAATTTCACATGAACAAACTCGTAGGTCTCGCTTGTAGAGCCCTTTTCTTCCACCTTTAAAGCTCCCAAGATCTCTTTAAACCTCTTAAATCTTCTCTTGACCCATGGTCCATGTAGAGATCTAATTTGAGCTCGAGTAACGTCATGTAAGGTGAGTGGGGCCGCATCAGGAATAGGCGAGGCCCCGACCATGAAGAATGCATCCCCCGATCGAGGAACAAAAGAAGGGTGACCGAGGAAAAGCCTCTGGCAGGTTCAAATTACATTTCGTGTTTAGGATTCTTTTTCTTTTTGGGTATTTAATTAGTTTTTGTTTCTTTGGCCTATACAAAGGCTAAGACGCTAGTTTTAGGGAAGACTTTGAAGATTTTTTATTTTATTCTTGTTCATTGAGCTTTGGCTTGTGAATTTTGTGTTTTGTATCAATCGAGTATTCTCCTTGATTGTGGTCGAGCTTCTACCCTATATTGATCGAGCCTTTTCCAAGGTGTGAGATTGCACTTCAATTCCGCTTTATCCCTAACTCTAATCTATGTTCATGGCTCTGCTACTTTGATAACTACGAATACTGCTTCCTTGCTCGTATCAAAATGTGTGGATCACACCTTGTATGAAAACTTTGTTTGGACTATTTTTAGTTGTTGTTTGGTTTAATCATTGAAATCAAGAATGAAGTATTGAACCTTAGTCAAAGAATTGGGGGTGTTAGTATATTACCATTTATCTTCCATTGTTCAAATTTTATTTGTCATCGGTCAAGTCTTGTAGCTTACTGTCATGCAAAATGAATTTGACGAAATCAAACAACCCATGACAATGATTAACAAAATAAAATGAGAATCAAAGTGTGTGAAATTTTTGCGAGTGACAAACGAAAATAATAAACAATAAACCAAGCAACCAAGGTATCTACAGGAATATTCACCTTCGATCACCGGATTTCCCGTAACTGAAGAGCCAATTCCCGTGACGGAAAGCATTTGTCACGGTATATTCCCGTGTCAAGCGTGCCCGTGATCGAAGGTAAATTATCACGAGGATATCCCGTGACTGTGAATCATTGACAACGGGAAATACCCCATGACAAATGGTATATGTCATCACAGTAAATTCCCGTGACTAATCATTAATCACAGGCAATTTCCCGTGACTTTGAGATAAAATAGCCACGGAATTCCCATGACTAGTTGTATTTCTCGACCCGAGATTTGACACTTTCCTCACCCACAATGATCATGGGCAATCCCTTGATTTTTATTTGTAATTAGTCTTTGATATTTGTTCATATTAATAGCATTACAAAAACTAGAAAGTCATTTAGAGCATCCATGTCATCACCATAATCATACATTATATATAATTTCATTGTGAATGATACTATAAAGGTCATACATCAATGTTATACAATTAAGAGGTTTAATGCTTGTAGCATTCTAACCAAATTGAACCTAACATAAATCCAATTGATCATTTCACTTGATCAAACATATGTATACACACACAAAGAAAAATCAGGAAACTTGTTTTGATCATCTATGTACATTACATTGAAATACAGTTGCTTTATCTTGTCTCGTCATCCTGCCTTCCATTGTCGATTGAACTCAGATAAATAGGCTTCTATTATGAGCATAATTTTCCCTGCAAAGTGACATCTGTTGCTAAGAATCAAACAAATGGCAATAGTAGCAAATTAAATTTTGGACGAAGGGATTAAAAGCATCTATATACTCTATTAATTCCCCCCCTTATGAGTAAATCCATCAGGCCGCATATCATACTCATGAACATCAACAACAAGCAAAGAAGTACAACCAGAGAGTTGTCCTTCGGCAAAAAGGGATTGGGTGACGACACTAAACAACAAGAAACAGAGGAAAGATGAAGAAAACTAAGAACCTAATTCATGCAATTGCAGAAGGAAAGCCTGATCGAGCAAAAAAAAAAAAATAGTCATCCCCATGTTTGGTTCACTAATTACATCTTACATGTCCGCTAACTACTATAAAAAGATATAGGGAATAGAGAGAGTACCGAAAGTGAAGAAGCTTTCTGCAACAGCCACCTGATCCAAATTAATCTGGCCATGGAGAAATCTGCTAAAATGTTGTCATACATATACTGCAAGATTCTCCAGACAACAAAACAATAGCTGAATAAAAGGAATGGTATGAAAGTATCTGGTTATCAAACATCAAACATCTAAACTTCACACTTATGGTTCTCATATTAATCAAAATGGCAACATGAATGACATTAAAGTATCTGGAATCACTTAAACTGTCTTACCCTGCATCAAACATCTAAACTGTCTTCCTAAATCGGTCTACCTTTCTAAACTGTCTTACCCTGCATCAAACATCTAAATTGCCTTCCGGTAGCCAATTTATAAATTAGAGCATCAAAGAAAGCATCATCAAAATAGAAACTAAAAAACAAATCGAAAAGTGACGAGAAGTCTATTTTGCAGTAACTTGATATCATTCTAATAAAAAGATGAGAGATATTATTATTGATAATACTTATTGAATATATGAAACAGGGGAAGCTGAATGCAGATGGCAGGGTTTGTAATAGATCTGTAATGGGAGGCCATGGTAGAGGTGAAGGAGCTTCAATTTACAGAACCTGCAACCACAGAAGCAAACACCAAGAACGCCATCAGGCCAGGTCGAGCATAAAAGCCAAAAATCATATCCTAGCGGTTTGACCCCCAAACGAGTAAACAAAAATCAAAACAAAAGACATGGTAAGCCATCATCTAATGAAGAGACTGGTTAGGAAACGCAGTGATGATGAAGAAGCGCCGATAATGGCCAGGAATGGCTTGAGTTCTGTAGGGGAGTAGTGGATCTGCCTCGATCTGAAGAAGGGGAAATGATGGCCGGAGAGAAAAAAAAATGCATGGCTAATCTAGTAAACCCGCTCCGAAATTAGGGAACTCTTCGGCCAGGGAGCGGATTGCGGCGCTGTGAATGACGAGGCGACGGTTGATTGGATGAGGCGGGGGAGGCAAAAACTTCACGAGAACCCTGAGCTTGACTAACTAAATCGGCCCTGGAGCAAGAGCGGCGGCATATACTAAGATCTCATGACCCTAGATGTAGGTCTCGTAGTTGAAGCTGAGACAGATGTGGATTCGCGGTGGGCGTTGGTGGTGGAGGACTGAGAGGTTCACGGAGCGGAGAAGATGATTTTCTGGTTTGCTTGGTAGCGAGAGAGTAGAGAAAGGAAAGGATGTGGGGAATTAATCTGTTTGGTAAAGTTAAAAGCACAGAGTTCAAACAAAATGAAAATAAGCCTAAGAATAGAGAAGGCGAGACACTTACAATTTTCAGGGAGTCAAATTTTTGGGGAGGCCGCCAAATGAAACATTTTAGCTTTTTCTTTCCCGCTCAGCATAATTCCCTTACCGCCGATCAACAAAAAGTTCCCGTGACTGAAGATGCATTTTCTTGTAGTGTATGACGTTCACATTGTGAAAACAAAATATGACGTTCACAGCCCAAGAGTGAAGAGCAAAAAGTGAATAGCATCATTGAAGTGTCGTGACTGACATTTGATTCACATGCACCTTTCTCCAATTTGGTAGAAGATAATTAAATTACTGATATCATGCAGCACACAAGTAACAAACAAACAAGTTGCCTTTAAAGTCCCCTGTAGTTCAATGAGGTTGCCCTCAATACGAGCCTTGTGAATGAAACGATCTACAATACTGACAGATACTATAGAAGGTTCGCATTGTCTTCCAGAAAACCGCAACCTTATCTCGAATCTCAGGAGGCAGGGCTCATGAGTAGTCGATTCAGAAAAGAAAATGACCAACATCGTGCACCCGAGATTGAATTCTGCTGTGTATTGGATCTTTGAATTTGGGATGCGCCATAAAGAGTCAATAAACGCTAGCTAGAAGAAGCTTTGGACAATCGCCAATACATTTGGGTTCAGAAGCTGACAGATTAGTAATCTTTTTATTCTCTGTTACCTCGTGCAGCTCACGCTACTTCAGTTGCTTTCACCACAAAAGCCACAATCTTGTCACGACTTGCAAACTGCAGTCGAGCCTATAAAAATGGCCCAGCTCCCAATCCACATTCCACACAGCCAACAACAACAACAACATAGTCTAAAACACAGGCACGATGAAGGTGACCAGCCAACCCTCTTCTTAATCGCCACTCTAGTTCTCGCTGCGGCCTACGTGTAAGGCCAGAGCTACAGGCCAAGTGGGCACATAACAGGGCTAACTCCACCACCGGGGCAATGCAACCAAGGAGAGGAATCGGACTGCTGCAAAACTGGCAAGCATTACACCACTTACAAATGTTCCCCTCCGATCACCGCAAGCACAAAGGCGACTCTAACTTGGAACAGCTTCGAGGCAGGAGGCAGCGACGGAGGCCCATCCAAGTGTGAAAACCAGTACCATTCTGACGACAAGCCTATAGTTGCACTCGATCTCCACGGGATGGATCAACAAGAAAAGCAGGTGTCTCAACTTCATCAACATTCATGGGAATGGCAACACTGTCAGGGCCATGGTGGTTGATGAATGCGACTCCACAATGGGGTGTGATTCCGATCATGATTACCAGCCTCCTTGTCCTAACACGATCGTCGACGCGTCCAAAGCAGTTTGGAAGGCATTAGGTGTGGGGTCCGCATCCTGTGACTAAGGGGGTGCTTAGTCACTTGACTAAGCCACTCCCAGCACTTAGATCTGGACACACTAATCTGACGGTTAAAAAGTGGGAAGGGCTATTTAATTAATGATAATGGTATTTTGGGTATTATGGAAATTACGAAGTATACAAACCGGACTTACAATCAATACAAACATACGAACAATACAAACTAGGGTGATAAAACATACAAACAGATTTACAAACAATACGAAACATACGAACTATACAAACAATACAAACTAAACCGACAAACATTACAAAGCATACTAACATTACAAATTGCCACTACTTACAATACAAAACAGTAAACTTGTATTACAAATCAATGAATACAAAGTATATACAAAGAACAACATAAAGTATACAAACTAGACAAACAAACGTTACAAATTAAAATCTATACAAATTACTCATATAAACATTACAAACATAATAGATAAAAAATGACAAACTAAAATTATAAACGATACAAAACGAATTGATACAAAATCACAAAACATACTAACAAACATTACAAAATCGTCCGACAAACATAACAAAATAGACGTTGTCGGCAGAAAATCTCTCATCGCCGGGAAATCCTCGTCATCCCCAAAAAATTCATCGATGACGAAAATCTCACTCTCTCACCAAAATCCCCATTGCCCCCACTAATTAGTAATTTCCATAGAGGTTGAAAATCCCCGCCGCAAATTGCTTCGGCGCCGCCGCAAAAAGCCGACGGGAGAAATTCCCAAAAGCTGACTGATCAAAAGAGCAAGGGTGGGAGAGATATTTCGGCTCACTTTTTTATTTTATTTATTAAATAACTACATTGTCCTGCATTAAATTGAATTAATCGAAACCATTGGAGTTTAATGAGGTGAAAGGGCTGAGATTCGCTTAGTCATTTGACTAAGGGACCTCTCCTTAGTCATTTGACTAAGGGACCTCTCCTTAGTCACATGATCTTATTCCGTGAGTGTGGCTGAGAGTGATAGGGGCAATCTGGATATCTCCTAGTCTGATGATAATTGATGATTCACATTTGGTTGTTTCTATGTTTGTTCATCAGTGTTTCTCATTTTGTACATATATGCATTGTACCTCTCGGGAGCAGATCCTGTGCATCTCTATGGTCAATAATCATGCATAATCTAATCTCACTCCGTAACATTAGCACACCTTCTATCTCCTGGAAAGCCTTTAATTTTCCCCCTTTAATCTTTAAGGACGATTTCTCACTCGTTTTAAGTCGGATTTAATTTTTTTGCACAGTTAGAGTGAACGAGGAAGCTTACCATTCCGCCGTCGGTCAGTTATTCAGCTTGGCAGATTAATTGTGCTATTCAAAATGATATTCACTTTGATATATTTTTGAAACAAAAAAATGGGTGAATGCCACATTTGGTTACTGAGATTACTAAATGATGTTATGTTTAGTCACTAGGAAAAATTAATATTATTTTTGGTCACTCGAATTACTGAAACATGTCACATTTAGTCACTCTCCCATTAGTTTCCATCCAGCTCCATTAACAGAGTTGGACGGAGGCTAACAGAGAGTGACATGTTTCAGTAATTCGAGTGACATTCATAAAAATAAAAGTAATTCGAGTGATCGGAGTTGGACGGAGGCTAACAGAACAGTAACTAAATGTGACCTGTTTAGTAATTCGAGTGATCAAAATTTATATTAATTTTTCTAGTGACTAAACATAAGATTTTATAGTAATTTCAGTGACCAAATGTGGCATTTAACCAATGAGTCATTTGTTTCAGTCTATACCATATGGTATTGAAATAAGAGCATACCATAAAGTTATTAAAAGCGTACCTTGGTTGTATGAACATACCAAGAATGTAGGATGGTAGAATGTATGATAGTAGGAGTATACTAACTGTCATTTACAATGTTCAACATTGTGTACCACAAGATTCCACCACGTACCACGGTGGTATTGTATGGTATTTTTTGGTCCTGTATTTTGTTCACTCAGAATTTTGTAGATCTAATAGATCATGATGAACTCATTGATTCTGTGCAAAAAATTTCAAAAACGACTTTAAAACGAAGGAGATACCATATGGTATGTGATTGGTAATGAGACATGAATTTTTTCCCCAAAAAAATAGTGAAAATGGATCTCATTTTGTAGAGCACGACGAACTCATTCATCTGTGCAAAAAAATTGAAATCCAAGTTAAAACGAAGAAGATAAGAGTCGATTAAGAAAACTAGAAAAAATAAAATAGTTTTAATTCTTCACTCTTAAATCAGCCCACTTAAAAAGAAGGGTCCTAATTTGATTACACATGTTAAGCACTCTAATACTATACATCCTTATTTTTTTTTTAGTATATGTATGAAAGGGATGGGATACGGTGACAACCCTCATAGGGGGTTGTGAGTTTGACAACTCATCTCCTCACTATTGGATATGCCCTCTTTCTTGTCTCTTTCTTCTCTTTTTCAAATTGATGGTTAATATTAAACGAAGGATATTTTGGAATAGGAAAAATTTACCACACATTCATTTACCCTCCCATATAAATTAAAAACAAAACTCTAAGTCCTCCCTCTCCACCTCCTTCCTCTCTCACGCAGCCATCCACCATCGCAGCAGTCCTCCACCGCTGCCGCACCCTCCATCGCCGTAGCCCTCGACCCCCGGCGTCGTTGCCCCTGTCTCCCGCAGTAGCCCTCCACCGCCACCGCCGCCGTCACCGCAATCCTCAGCCTCCCTCCACCCCCTGCCATTGCAACTCTCTCTCTCTCGTCGGTCCGTCGCAACGTCCGCCTCCCACCACCGCGGCGCAGTCATCCTCTCCCCATTGGAGCCCTCTAGCCGCCCTTCGTCTCCCACCACTGCCGCCACCGCGAGGTCACCCTCTTCCCTGGCTCTCTTTCCCGTCACCGACTCCCCTTTTCTAGATCTGATTTTTTTTCTTGTTTCAACTAGTGGTACCATTTTTCTTCTGGTAGCGTACCAGTGATAGTGGTATGCTACCACTACCATCTGGTAGCTTACTAGTGATAGTGGTAGCGTACCACTACCATCAGCTACCAGATGGTAGTGGTAGCGTTGTACTGGTACCGTACCACTAGACTAATGGAATGATACACTTTTTAACGCACTGGTACATTTTTGCAGGTTGCCAGAGGGAGTCTGCCGAAGAGATTTTGCCGTCTGCTAGAAGAATTTCACCAGAGAAAAAGTCTGTCGGTCGAAGCGAATTGGTTGCTAGAAAAGGAAGAGAGATATACATGTATTTTATTGTACGATTTAAATTTCAAAAAATGATTGGTCGTTTGGATGAGGAATTGTAATGGATCAATCTGACACAATTGTCTCGTTTTGAGTCAATTGTGCTAGATTGATCCGTTTGGCAGCAGAAAATTTGGATGAAGCAATTTGGGCTGGGGAATTCTGAATTGACTCATTTTGAGCCAATTACAATTGTCTGGGGTGGGGGCAGGTAATATGAATTGACTCGTTTTAAATGACTCGTTTTGTAAAATGAAACAATTGGTCAAATTGTCTCGTTTTACAATTGATCCATCCAAACGACCCCTGTATTTAATGTGGGTTAGGGATGGTAATTACCCACCCATGGGTAATTATACCTAAATCCAAGTAGATCCATTCACAATGGGTTGGGTATGGGTGAAGTGCATATGGGTTTGGGGGTTTGTAAATGGGTTTGGGTAAGGTATGAGTATTGGTTCCATAATCTAAATGGGTATGGGTTAGATATGGATATCCATTTATTTGAGGTTATTTTAACTACATATGCAAAAATTGGACCTATTTGTAAAACTTGAAAAGTTTAGGTACCAAAATGTAAGACCAAAAATATTTAGGTACTAAATATGCATATCTATTAAGTTTAGGTACTAAATATGCATATTTATTAAGTTTAGGTACCAAATTGTAATTTGCATTTGGGCATGGGTGTAAACCCAAATCAATTTGTTATAAACCCAACCCAACCCAAGCAAATGGGTATGGGTGCAAACCCATCAGAGTCTACCTATATCCATCTATTTGTATTTTATACCCAACCCAATTAGGTTGAATAGTAAAAAAAACCCATGGCTATGGGCAAAATTGTCACCCTTATGGATTCTTAATTTCCAATGTAATTAATATAAAATAAAATAATTAATATATTATTATTTTTTTGTCATACCCAAAATGCCCTTGGTTATCAATCTCACATTTTCACTATATCCGCTCCCTATATGATTGATATTCTATCATCTCAAACATATCTCTACCATATGGAAAGCTTGATCGGAAAATATATCTCTCAAAACCAAGGTTGTCAACCCGCGGGTTGACCCGGACCCGATCGAGCTAGCGGGTCAAGAGTTAATGGGTCAGCCGTTTTAGCCCGGTTTGGCCCGGAAATATAGAAAAGTCATTATATTGTACTTATCCTCATAAATTATATCAAATCTTATCTAACATATGACTTATAACATATAATATTACACCAAAATAACATATCGTACTTAGATCCAACATATAGTGAAAATTCACACACACTTATATAACATAAATATTCAAATGTTCAACTTAGGATTCCAAAGATTGAGTTAGGCGAAAAGAAAAATCGGAAAATAGGCGTATTTCGCAAACCAAAGAAAAAAATGACACAATTTGACCTCCAACTCGGTACCTTGTAGCGGTCGGCCCGGCGGGTGCGTACGGCCCGTTTTTCTTACCGGGTCAGGGTCAAAGTGGGTCGACCCGCGGGTCAACCTGCGGGTTGACAACCTTGCTCAAAACATATCTCTTCCATGGTCCATGAAACCGTATCATACCGGCAGTTCAACCACGAAATACCAGTATTGGAGGCTAAACCGGTAGGTGGTATTTAACGGTACAACGGTTGAACTACGGTTAAACCACGATTTTACCATAAAATACCCTATCGCTGACTTTTCCGGTACGGTCTCCGGTACGGGTACGGTTTCATGGACCATGATCTCTTCCCAGTCCGGTCTCAAACCGTTTTGCTTTCGAGAACCGTACTAGCAACTTATAAAAGGCTCCAACTTTCTATTTTTTTATTTTTTTTCATTCCATTCAGCTTCCCCCAACTTAGGGTTCACAGTTCAGTCTAAAAAAAGAGTAGGGTTCACAGTCGCTGCCAGCCCTCTACACAGTCGACCCATCTCCGTCCCCTGAGTCCCGTCGCCGGTCTCCGGCCAGAATCAGCTGCCTCTTCTCTTCTATGTTCGTCTGCATTTCTTTTTTTGGTAAATCCATTCTTCTCACTGAAAAACTTAACTGACTCATTCTATGCTTTGGACGTTGACAATTTGCATCCTTTGTGCAGAGGAAGAAGAATGACGAGTGATGAAGATGTTCAACTTCCATTACGTTCCACTAACAAAAGACGGCGTCATCGAATTGGTGGAAATGAGTCTACTGCGGAAAACCCACCACCACCAACAACGGTTGAGGCAACTAAAGGGAAGAGGAGGGTAGCGGAGCCTGCTGCTGCTGCTGCGGATTCAAAGAAGAACGGTACTAAATCTCCCCTGAAAAACCAGCGTATGCTCTGTAAGAGAGATACGGGAGGGGAAAATGGTGAAATGATGCAATTAGGAGGACTTCAGCCATGTTCAGATGCTGAAAGGATGAAAATTTTGAGCGATTGGAAGTTCGATCAAACTGAAGCTAGGATTCTTTTAGCAGAAATGATCATTCTAGATTCCTTGCCGTTTAGGTACGTTGAGCGCGAAGGGTTTAGAACGTTTATGGCGCGTGCTTGTCCTATGTTTGAGATTCCTAGTTGGAAGATCGTTAGACAGGACTGTTTTAGGTTGTTCCTCGAGGAGAGGTACAAGTTGAAGGAGTATTTCGCAGATAATGCTTCAGGGAGGGTTTCTATCAGCACTAATCGTTGGACGTGTGCTCAGAACTACAATTACATGTCTGTAACGGCTCACTTTGTTGGGAAAGACTGGAAGTTGCACAGAAGGGTTATCAGCTTCTTTCGAATTACCAGCCGCAAGGGCTGGGATATCGGAGGGCAAATCGCAAGTTGCCTGGAAGAGTGGGGGTTGAAGAGTGTTTTCTCCATCACTGTTGACAATGCAAATGTGAGGGATGATGCAGTCAGCTATTTAAGGGATAAACTTGTCACTTGGGGGAGCAGTATTAGGTATGGCACATATCTTCATACGCGATGTGTTAGTCATATCATCAATTTGATCGTCACTGATGGGTTGGAGGAAATCGGCATATCAGTGAGTCGGGTGAGAGAGGCCGTGAGATGGACACTTGCGTTACCTTCTAGGTATGCTAAGTTCAAGGAATTTGTTGCCTTGCACAACATTGAGACAAAGAGGAAGTTGTGCCTGGATGAGCCTAATAGGTGGGATTCAACTTGCTTCATGTTGATGGCAGCTGTGATATTTGAGAAGCCATTTGAGTCACTTGAGAGATCAGATCCTAATTTCAGGTCGGATCTTGAGGCCCAAAGGTATAAAGATGAACCAATGGGTCCTCCAACACCAACTGATTGGAATAATGCAAGGAATTTGTGCAAATACCTTAAAAAATTCTATGAGTTCACCTTGCTCGTCTCAGAGGCTTCCTATGTGACTTCCCATCTATTTCTTAGAGAATTTGGAAAGATGTTCCATTACAGCTATACAATGGAATCCAGTGAAGATGGCGAGGTTAGAATCATGGCCTCAAAAATGCATAACAGAGTTGCAAAGTACTGGTCTGAGAAGGATGACATAAATGCGAGAATGAATAGGTTGTTTTACATAGCTGTGGTGCTTGATCCTAGACACAAAATGGAGTATCCAAAGTATATCTTGAGAAAGCTGTATGGAGAAGCTAGAGGGGACCAATTGGCGGAAGAGCTGAAGGAAGAACTCGTTGAGCTGTTTGAGCATTACCAAAGAATGCTCATGCCTGCCAACCAAAGAACCAAAAGTTATGTTGCGATGGAGATTCCTAAGGTGGATGTGCGCAAACAAACTGGTGGTTTTAATGATAGTTATGATGAGAGCAGGGATGATGTTTATAGAACTGAACTGGAAACATACCTGGCCGAGTTTCGTGAGCCTAATGGGACCCTTCCGCAAGAGTTTGATATCCTGAGATGGTGGATGATCTATGCGGTGAGGTATCCTATATTGAGCGAGATGGCGAAAGACATCCTCGCTGTCCCTATATCCACTGCATCATCCTCTAAGAGCCCTTTCGATACGGAGGGCCAAGTATTGGATTCCTTTAAGAGTTCTTTGACTCCCAAGATTATGGAGGCTCTCATATGTAGTGAAGATTGGTTGAGATCTTCGAATTACTCATCGCCACTTTCCAAGGATGATTATGAGGATCCAGAAGAACTTGAAAATGGTAATAATTTTTTCCCCATCAAGTAGTTTTGATTCATATCTGTGCTCCATTTGTTGATACTGATTTTCCTATACATTTGACTTAGCGTTCCAATCTATGGTTCGGACCGTGAATGCTTCTATTCTGGGAGAAGAAGATGAAGAAAGTGATTCAGATTCGAGTCAGGAGAATGAAGCCAGTTCATCGGACTGATTCGACTTTGCTTTTGGTAGTACCTGATGTCTTTTCGGTTTATGGTCTATGGATGATATCTATTTTCTTGCTGTGTATGGATTATGTACCTGTGGTCTATTGACGATTATTGGTTGATGAATGAATTTTAGTCTAAATGATCGTTCTTGTATCTCTATTATGGATTTATGGTTATATGGATACTGGTCCATGGAGCTCCTGGAGATTGCAAGTTTGAATTAATGCAAGAAGTTTCTCCAACTAGTCGGCTGTGGGTTGAGTTTCTGATTAATAAGTAAGATTGGATCTCTAATTGGGTGGATTTCGTCGGTTCGAGTCTTTTAGATGAGTCCCCTTCATCTAGGTAAACTGGCATGCCTATGTGGGAAAAAGTTGTTTTCTTACACTTGCAGTTAAGCCAACAAACAGGAATTTGAGGCCAATTGTCAAAAATAGACTAAAATGATACTCGAAACAAAATATTACCGCCACTAAGGAAAGAGAAGAAAACCATGAAGAAGATGACTCTCCTCATGATCGATATTCTAGTTTTGGTTGTGACCTATGTTGAAGGGCAGAGCTGCAACCAAGTGGGCACATAACGAGCGGAGAAGACTCCGCCATCAGAACAATACAAGAGAGGAATCCGGCTGCTTTAAAACCGGCAAGCACTGCACCACAAAGGGGACTCTAACATGGAACAGCTTCGATATTATCAGCCGCCTTATTATCAGTCTTTGTTTATGGTTATGATCAGTTTTCTCATGTTTTAATAGATTTTACTGTGTATTGTTTTCTGAAAGGTGCGACTACTCTATCATCTATATATATTTATGTGCCATATTACAATGACTAGAATGTAGAAACTGCAGCTTTGTTGGATTGTGTATCGTCTTACGTGTATCTTCATATTGCAAAGTTTCCACTCCTGAAGCAGAATGACTTTTGTTCTCGTCTCCAATAGAGGTTCTCTGTTTTCACATCTTGAAGCAGAATGGAGAGCTGCAGTTTATGCACATTGGCTCAAGTTCCGGGAAGTTCAAACTTCACCAGCAGGGTTCTTATGCTTGCAAAGTACACACTAATCTGGAACTTCTTCCGTTCAAGACAACTGGAGTTCCTACCATTACAACCTTTAATCATTCGAGCTGACCAAAACTCATCGCCTACCTGGTAATGGTTCACATCACATGCTTTATGCAAGCCTAGGTACGGGAGTGGCTTCTGAAGGTGGTAGTGTAACTGATCGTAACAGCTCTAGGGAGAAGAGAAGCCCGAGGAAGTGAGAGAGGATTGTGTTTGCTGATGCCTGCAGGAAACATAGCATACAGCATAATTAGTATATAAGACAACGAAAACTGTGAGCAGTCTCTGCCAAAGAAATTACTGTCCCTAATAATTCAACAGTTGGGAACAATGATGTAGCATCAGATAGCAGAGAAGCAGGCTCAATGAGAGACAATATACCTGCACCAAGAAAACGTCCAATGCAAGAACAGGACTGTATCCTGGAGAGATCCCCTGGTAATAAGGGTTTGCAGAAGAAGTCAATGCCTTGGCTACCAATGTCCCTACTGTGGCTTGCATGCCAAGAACAGCAGCACCCATGCCCAACAGATTCAAGATTATGCCATTTCTCAAGCCTTTAACGACCTCAGCCCGAGGTGGTGCCTGAAACCCACAGAAACTGATGAAACACGAGGCATATGAAACAGATATACCCAGAGAATTCAGTTGTCTCGACAATAAGTGGCTCCCAAGCAGTGGTAATCATATATTCAGCGAACTCACATATTGGCATACAAAGTCATGTCACACTGAAAAATCAAATCCTGGTGACGTTGTGACACTCAAATTCGCTTATGAGATCTCAGACTTCCCACACCATGGAAGTTAAAGTAAACAGAAAGGACCATGTGGATCGGTAATGGAAGCGCTCAATAGTAACCACTCCATTGGAGAGCATCTACCTTAGCATACAGGTAAAATATCCAACTGAATAAAATGAAACAAAATCAAGAGGTCAAAGTTGTGATCCCAAACACTCTGATCCCTTGTTGTTCTTCTCAAATGATGAGGAACATTAGAACAATTTTCAAATGCTTGTCTAGAAAAGAAGATCATGGCATGTGTGTTTAATATGCAAAAACTAACACCCGAAGCACTATTCTCTCTTTCATGGACCAGTACCCTTGGATTGCTAAATTATGAACTCAATACCAAGAAAAGGGATCATCTATGCATACTACTCATTTGTCTATGTGGCTGAGCTGAGTGTATATATATGATAACACTACTTTGCATTCATTTTCTGCTGATCAGTTAAGGATCTAGATCAGCATTCAACGAAGTATAGGTTAGCATCTGGCGCAAGGTCCTAATATACAGAATTGAACTAAGGTGTTATCTCCATCACCCCGTCAATCAATTTGGCCTAAAAGCTACTACTTTGAAATTTTAAGATAAGCATGTACATTTCTGAAATTATACCAAAGCAACACACAACGAATAGTACCTTAGAAGGCTCGTTTGCAGTCCTCCGGAGCTTCTCAGAGAGCCGGATATACCCAAAAGACCAGAACACAGAGATAAAAGCTGCAGCTATACCACCAGCGGTTGTATAGAAACTTGCAGGGGACGAGATTCTCCCAGTTGCAACAACCGAAAAGGAAAGGATCACAGCAGCCACCACCGTGCAAATCAGCTGCCCCCAAAAACCTATACTTCCAAACCGCTTGAAACGTCTGGATGTATTCTCCAATCTCTTTGCTACCTACACCGTGCACAAAAGTTACAACCTCTACTCACATCCCATCCCTACTTCAAAGAACGATTCGCAACTTAACCCCTTCACCAAAATTCAGCCCCTAAACGAATAATTCGAGCAATTCCAATAATTTCCCACAACTTCTCTTACCAATAAAACATCTAAACCCGTCACTTAACACGACAAATTAAACTACATTTTCCAAAATTGGAGTCCTCAACAAAGTAGCATAGCTGGAACTACACGAGCAAGATAGTGAACAAAAGCTTACGAAATTCAGATTCCAGCTAAAATATGAACTGGAAATTGGGGGAAATTTCGGACCTGAGCAAGTTTGGCTCTCTCCGATTCGTCATTTGGGGAAGTGTAAACAGCAGAAACCGGAGAGGAAGCAGCAATCTTCGAGGACAAAGATATTATGCGGCCCCTGCTTCCAAGAGGATCATAGGTTATCTGGGAAGAGGAGTGAAATGAGAGGGAGGACTGCTGCGCCGTGGGCTTTCGCGAAGATAACACGGAATGAGTAGAAAACAGCAGCCGCCGAGATCGGAAATGAAGGAGAGACGGGTTTATTCCCACCGTGACGGCGGAAGATACCGCCGGGAGAAGCAGTGACTGCATATCCACACACTTGAGAGACTCTCAAGTCTCAATGAGAGAGTAAAAAAACGGCCTAGAAAGAGAGACTTTGGTTAAACGGCTTTTCTCCGCCGGATTCCTTTCCTTCTGCTGCCGACTGCGAGTAGCTTTGTGTAGCGGTGTTGGGATAATGGGCCGGAGGCCGACCGATATCTGCTACTTCGGCCTGAAACAGTTTTAAAGGCTCTGGGCCCAATTAATTGAAAGCCATCCCAAAGAAGGCGTATCACCGTTAAAGTAGTAAAAACCTAAATCGCCGTTGCCGGGGATCGAACCCGGGTCACCCGCGTGACAGGCGGGAATACTTACCACTATACTACAACGACCTTGATGTTGGTGGCCACAGTTATTGGGATAGTATCACAAGTAACATGTGTTGTCTTTGTCTGACATTGAATGAGCAACTGGATAAAACCTCTTCAATGTCCAGCTAAATATGGTGGAGGAGCTTTAATTGGTCATGCTTTATGCTTATACATGTTGCAATATAGAAACGACATTGTATGGCCCAGATGATCACTACCACGGACACTCCGTGCTCTCGTCTATCTATCTTCTTATCCAGTGCCCGAAAGAATTTCATGAGTCTTTTCGGTCACAAGCTAGCCACTAGGTGAAAAATGCTGAGAAAGTTAGTCGGGGCAGAATCTGCATTACAAATGCCCTATACAATATACATTGATCACTAGTACTAACTAGTAAGTACTGTAGTTTTGCATGTGAAGTGAAGGAAGCGGGGATAAAAAAAACAGCCAAAATAATGATTGAGGGTACGCATGCACTGTCGCTAGGAATGGATTATTAACTGCAGAAATGGAAACTGCATCTGCATGCATTCCCACATGCAGCAAGTGGGAAATTGCAGAGCAGTAGTAAGCTTAGTAGCTTATTGTCTGCATATTGAGAGGAAGAAGAGACAGGAAGCTCGATCGCTAGGGTTTAATTGTCTAGATAAGCTTACAGCTGATGTGTTACTATATATGGCACTGTCTGGATCTGCAAAGTCGTCCCATCTTAATCCTTCTTTATATGTGGGCGCGCGACTGACTGTATAACGATTTTGATCAAGTAGTGTTGCCTGCCTGCCCTGCCCCCACTTCATTTTTAAGTTTGTAACTAGCTAGCTACTACACTCTTTCGCGGCAGTGGTGGTAGCTAGGCCACAATTAATATGTATCGAAGAAGAGGTCCCCAAATTTTGTCTTTGTTTGTCTCTAAGCACCGTTGTGCTATCTCAATCTATCTATCTATATATATATGTATGGCCAACTTGTCAAGTCATGTTTTTGTCTCTCATGGACAACTGGTCCAAATAACACTAATTTTGGCAGAGTTTCATGTATCACGTTTTATATTGAAGGGGTTTATCAAAATTTCTTAGTATGTAGCTAATACTAAATCCAACCGGTAAAACATTTCATTTTGATGAGTTTTTCATTATATTGAAAAGATTGATCATGATTTGATATTGATTATCAAGGTAGGGGCATGTCTGCTTTTTTTTTTTTTTTTAATTAACAGAGCAACACACTGTGGACCACATCATGACGCAACCCAAAAAAATGACAAACCACACCGCAAAGCACGTACATAAAACAAACAAGAAAACTTATAAAGCAAATAAGAAGCTCACTAGACCACTAAACTCATAAAACGTATAAGAAAACTCAAAGTCAAACAAAAGTTTCCTAAAGTAGACCGTAAAACTCATAAAGCTTACCGCAAATATCATTCAGATCAGAAATATGACAAACCACACCACAAAACATTTAGGGGTCGTTTGGATAATATGAGTTTAAATCTATAGATTGTCAACAATCTAAAGATTCTAACTCTTCAGATTGTTGAAAATAGATTTTAAAATGTTTATTGTTTGATAACTATGATTGTTAACATTAAATGAAAATAAAAAAATTAATTTTGTATTAAATAACATGTTTATCCTTAATAAAAAAATTAGAGTGGTTCTAGAAAAAATTAAAACCTTTGTTGATAAATATATTTAGTATGATAAATAAATAAAAGAAAGAGAAAATGTAGGAGAAAAAAATCTCACGAATCAAGATATAGAATCTCTCTGATTATGAGAGATTTGATTTCCGTAGATTTTAGAGATTCGAAATGGGTTAATACCTTATTTTGGCCCGAACTATGACCATATAATCAACTCTGGCACTTGGTTTCAGAAATTAACATCATGACCTCAACTATGCAGCATATAGACTCAATTGGTCCGACACATGGTTTGACCGTCAATTTGGACGGTCAACGGTCAACACACCATGTCATTTCCTTGTCAGGCTAAAAATCATTAAAAAATTCAAATTATTTTCCTAATTTCTATTATTTATCATTTTCAAATTAACCAAAAAATAAAATTTATATTTTATTTTTTGGGATATTTGAAAATGATAAATTTATAAGTTAACCAAAAAGTATTGAATTAAATTTTATAAATTTAAAAAACAAGATATAAATTATATATTTTATTTTTTGGATAATTTTAAAAATATAAAATAATTTAATAATTTTTGGTTAATTTATAAAATTATTATTTTCAAATTACCCAAAAAAATAAAAATAAAAATTTATTTATGTTTTTTATAATTTATTTTTGGTTAATGTGATAATAAATAATAAAAATTAGAAAACTAATTAGAATTAGAATTTTGTAATGAATTTTAGGCTGACGAGGCAATGACATGGCATGTTGACTAACGGTCAATGGTATTGACCATCCAAATTGACGGTCAAACTCTGTGTCGGGCCAATTGAGTCTATATGTTACATAGTTGAGGCAAGGATGTTAATTTCTGAAACCACGTGCCAAAGTTGATTATATGGTCATAGTTCAGGCCAAAATAAGGTATTAACCCATTTGAAATCTCTAAAGCTAAAATCCATAATACAAAAAGCAACAAAAGGCATAAATTTTTATAAAATCTACGAATTCAATGAATCCAGGCCATAATTCCCGTTCTCCAAATGACCCCTTTAAGTAGACCAGAAAGCTCATATATACAACATACCAGAAGATAGATAAACTATTTTTTTTTTACATCAAACATCATTCAATTCATTCCAAACCCAAACAAGTGGAAAGAGATACAATTACAATAATGGAGCCACAAGGTCAGCAATGACAATCCAATCTGGAGGAAGGAGATCAAGCCGAGTGTTCGTTGCGATCCAATCAGCCAACGTATTGAATCGACGAGGAACAAACTCAACCAAAATCCAAGGAGAAACGTAGAGAATGGAAATCACACGGGCAAAAGTTGCCCGGCACTGCCAAGGCCAAAGGCTCGGATCTTGTCTCAACGCAATCGTCAACCGCTGACAGTCTGACCTGATACACGTTGGAACTGGATCCTGGGCCGCCAAGATAACTGCATTAAGAATTGCAACTGCTTCCGCTTGAATCGGAGAAGAACAAAAGAATCTCTCAGCCCTACCGTCGAACACCTGACCGTGGGAATTAGCAATAGCAATCCCATAAGCCACCATCTATGCATCAGACATAAAGGAACCATCACAATGCACAACCTTACAAAAAGGACCAAGCGGTGATAAGGTAGACGACCGAGAACCCCCAGGCTGAGAAGGCAGTCTAGCTGAAGTGGTAAGTGTTGAAGCTGAGGGCGAGATCCTAGCTTCCTGAACGTTTCGGGCATCACGATCAGTTAAAATTGCCACAGCGGGAGGGGAGAAAGCCCTTCCCTCAAATACCATACCATTCCGAGAAATCCAGATATTCCACAACGAACACACAATCTTTGAAATTTGTTCAGCTGTCAATCGTTCACGAAGATTAAAGAACCAGCCCGCAAAGGTTGAATCAGCCGCCGGTAGTACATTCAAGAAGCCAACTCGAGTCCAAGTCTCATATGCCAAAGGACAAAAGAACAAGCAATGCAGCATCGTCTCATCATGTTCCTCACATAGCGGGCACGAAGGATTAGGCGCACATTTACGTTCAAACAGCCTAGCTCGTGTTGCAATTGCATTTTTACCACACTTCCATATGAAAAACCTAAGCTTAGGAGGAAGTTTAAGGTCCCACAACCATTTCCAGTCAACCCTTATTGAAGCAGAAGAGGTGTCCACAGCAGTCAGAGATGAAGCATCCCACAACCATTAGCCAAGATAGATAAACTATGAAGAAAAAAAGAAAAATTGATACATCTACAACTAAATTACTATTAATACTTGACTTCTTATTCATAAATAAAAATATAGAGCAAAATTATATATTTATAAAAATAATCTCACAAACATTTTCCCTTCAAACTAGATAAACAAATCATAAAATCTTAAGTAAATAATATTTTCTAGCCAAGACACAATTAATAAAAATATATTCGTTCTAAACATAAGCCAATAAAAATATACAAAAGTAACCAAATATTTCAAAAATTAAGTAATATAAAAGACCTATTTTATAACCCCAAATTGGCCACATGACCCATCCAATGTTATAATGCATCAGCTTCAAAAGAGTTGTAGCTTATGAGTTTCTAGTCTGCCTCGAAAAATTTGTGGTCAGCTTCGAGTTTTTTGGTAAGCTTTACCAGTTTCGTGGTTTGGTGAGTTTTGGTTTATTTTATGAAATTTCTTATATACCATATATTTTTTTATGTGGTTTATCGTGTTTCTTTTTTCCGGAAATTAGTGTAATCTATTAAGCACCTTCTTGGCCAAATCAGCACAAGAGTCGAAAAAGTACTTTGGCCTAAGCAAGACAAAATCGTAATAGATCAAGCTATCACTACCCTAACCCATTCTACCAATTGAATTTGCTCATAAAGTTCTTGGTTTCCTAACATATACAAGCGAATCTCCTCCTTAAAAAGAGAGGCCAGAGTGTTTGCACTCTTAGCTGCTTCATCGAAGACCCTTCTACAACGCTCCTTCCACAGCAGCCCAACTCCCAAACACCATAAGGAGCTGAAAATATGCCATCCATTCTTCCTGCTCCAGTC